GACCATACACACTCACATACATACACATCATCGCAACCGCGCACACGCCACGCAACGGCGCACACACGCAACAGCACACACCACACACGCCAACACCGCAACAGCGCCACACGCACACACACGCACACGCAACACGCACACGCACACGCCACACACCACACACCACACACACACACACCACATCACACACACACACAACACACACACACACACACCAATCACACACACACACACACACACAACACACACACACAGCACACACACACACACACACAACCACCACACGCACACGCAACACGCACACACACCCACACACACACACACACAGCACACACACACCCACCCACGTACGCACACACCCCCAAACGGGCAAACCCCGGGGCCCCACCGCACACCACACACAATCACAAACACCACACACCCACACACACACACACACACAAATCAACACACACACACACACACACACACACACACACACCATCACACACACACACAATCAACACACTCACACACACAATACCACACACACACACACACACACACACACACACACACACACAACACACACACAAACAACCACACACACACAAACACCCCCACACACACACACACCGCGCGCACCCAACCCCCCGCTTATTTTTTTTTTTTTACGCACACACACGCACGCACCCACACACGCCCGCACACGCACACACGCGGCGCACACGCCACAACACACACACACACCAATTACACACACACACACACACATTACACCACACCACACACACACACACACACACACACAGAGAATACCACACAGGATCAGCAATAAAAACACGCACAACACGCACGCACGCGCATCGCGCGCCACACGCACACACGCACCAACCACACATACACACACACACACACGCACAGCACACACCACCCACAACAACACCACACACACAAACACACACACCATACACACACAAACATCACAACACACCCCCCACACGCACAGCATACGCACACACACACAACACAACACACGCACACGCACATGCTACGCACACGTACGCACACACGCCACACACGCATACCGCACGCACACACAGCGCGCACACCACACACACACACACACACAACACACACGCCCAGACGCACACGCACACGCACACGCACACGCACACGCACACGCACACGCACGAACGACGCACTCACGGCCACGCGACGCACGGCACACACACAATACACACACACACACACATACACACACAAACAACACACACACACACGACACACGCACACGACACGCTACGCACACACACACACACACACACGCACACCACATTACGCCACACGTACGCACACACCCATCACACGCATAACGCACGCACACACGCTGCGCGACACCACACACACACACACACGAACACACACAGCAACGCCCACAGACGCACACTCACACGCACACGCACACGCCACACGCACCCGCACACGCACACGCACCCACCACCGATCGCACGCCACGCCCACAAACACACATTACAGCACCCCCCCCACACCACCACACGCAACAACACCAACACACAACCTGCACACCCACAACACATTGCACACCCACAGACATACACTACAACGCCTAACGCCACACACACACACGACACACACTCACACCACCACACACACACACACACACACACACACACACACACACACACACACACACAACCACACACGCCACACGACGTCACGCCAAACACACAACATGCTACCACCAACAGACATGCCACACCACACAGGCACATACACACCCACATGACATACACACACCCAACCGCGCCAACACGCAACACGCACACACGCCAAACACGCGACACACTGCACACACGCACACGCCACACGCACACGCAATGCACGCACACGGCACACGCACACGCCACACGCAACACGCAACACACACACACACACACACACACCACACCCACAACCAGATCTCAATTCACACACACATACTAATCGTCAATCCACACACAATCACACATAACCACACACACACACACCACACACACCATCACCACACATACACACCACACAACACACACCGACACACACAACCACACACACACACACAATCACATCCACACACACAACACACACACACACACACACACAACACACACACACACACAATAACCACCACACACGACACACAAACACACACACACACACACACACACACACACACACACCCAACACGTACGCACACACACACACGCACGCACGCACACACGCCGCGCACACTCACACACGCGCGCCACACCCAACAACACTCACACACAATCAACACACCACACACACACACACACACACACACACACACACCACCACACACCACACATACACATTAACACACACACTACAAACACACAGACACACCAGAGACGCATCAAACACACGACACAACGCACGCCACGGCACTCGCGCGCACACGACACACGCCCACACACCACACTCACACACACACACACACACACCACACAACACACACACACACACACTCACGCACCACACACACACACACACACACACACACACACCACAACACACACACATAACACACACAAACACAACACACACACAACACACACGCACACGTACGCACACACGCACACAACCGCACGCCACACACGCGCGCACACGCACACACGCGCGCACACGCACACAGGCCCACACACACACATTCACACAAACACACACACACACACCACACACACACACACACACACATCACATCACCACACACGTCTGCTGCCGCGAAACAACAACAACAAAAACAACAACACACAACATGCACACCACAGACATGCACACCACAAGACATCGCACACCACAGACAATGCACACCCACAGATATGCACACCCACAGACATACACACCACGCAACCGCGCAACACGCAAACACGCACACACCAACACGCACACCGACACACGCGCAACACGCACAGCCACACGCACACGCAAACACGCACAACGCAACAGCACACACACCACACACACACACACACACACACACACACACACACACACACACAACATGCACACCACACACACACACACACACACACACAGCACACACACACCACACATCACACAACACACACACACACACACACACACACACACACACGAGAGAGAGAGAGAGAGAGAGAGAGAGAGAGAGAGAGAGAAAGAGAAAGAAAGAGAGAGAGAGAGAGACAGAGAGAGAGAGACAGAGAGAGACAGAGAGAGAGGGGAGGTCAGGGGCCTTCTGCGCGAACTCTTTATTAATGAAAGTGCGATTTCAGCAGCGCTTATGGCGTTTCTATTGAGATCTATGGGCTTTTGTTGCCCCATTTTTCTTGTATGCACTGTTGTACTTGCTTTGTACTTACCTTTTACTTACCTTGCTTTCTCATTGTGTCTTTGCAGATCAAGGCTAAGCTGGCTGCGCAACGGCCTGCAGACGATGACGATGACGGAGATTTGAACGATCTTGATGATGAGATCCAAGCCATGACGACAACTTCGGCTCCCTCCAGGCCTGAGTCTACGGAGAGGCCTGTGGTGTTGGACGTTTCACCCAAGCGCTCATCATCCAGGGCCACTGCTGATGATGCGAGACTCCTGACCACACTGGAAGAAAGGGGGCGGCAGTCGATGCAACTGCAGGAGAAGATCATAGACCTGATCAAACCCACAGTGCGTCCCACCGAGAGGTCAACATATGGGGACTGGGCAAAGTCGGTGATGGAGGACCTCGACAGCTCTCTGTGGAGGCAGTTCCAACAGGAGCACAGTCAGCTACTCTACAAATTTGTGGATATGAACGACCGTGTCCAGATGGGTGCCCAGTCCCAGTACCAGGCTCAGCCTCCCCAGCAGCAGCAATGGCAGCCTGACCCTGGACAGCAGCAGCAATACAGCAACCCGCAACCTGGCTCTTCCCAGACCCAGGAGTGCCCCCAGTGGTAGCCTCCTCCCCAGTCCTGGGCGGTCACAGTCCAGTCGACTTCAGTGTGGAATTCGCAGAGCTCGGATGGCACCGGAGACCACACTGACAACCTTACAACCTTGGTCAAGGAAAACACCACAGAACGCGTCAACTCCCACCAACACCAGCTGTTCTGTCCCCAGGACAAGTGCCACTTCCCTAGGGGATAACGATGACTTGGGATCGTTAAGTGGGGGTTTCACTGACTCCTTCGTGGATCAAATGCGCCGGGAACCGGATGGAAACAACAACAGCCAGAAATAAACTGTAAACTGTGAACTGTGAACTGTGACTAAAATGGATACTGGACAGTGCTTATTTTATGTTTATATTTTATGTTTCATTGATTTTTACCTTATATTATTACATGAACAGTATGAAAGTGGGTATGGAAAATGTTTGGTAACAATTACATACATATATGTTGCAATTAAATGTTATTATCCGTTGCAATTTTGACATAGAATTATTACATGTATTGTATGTTTTGAAGGTAAAATGGGCCATTATGGCTCACCTTAACCTAGGTCAAATGGACTATTGGCATCATGTTGTGTCCGCCGTGCTCCGTGTGCCGTGCCAAAATTACAAAAGACTTCAAAGCATCTTGGCATATTAATAAATATGACATATGGAACGATATATATGAATATATATATAGTAATAAACCATAAACAATGATGTCGAATTTCAAAGGATTTGAAGGCCTCACTGGGCTATTTGTATACAATTATTTGTTTTGTTGATAACCCTCTAAGAACAACAATAACAAGCGTTTCAATACACAATTTAATATAATTAAAGCGCAATATCACATGAAAAATAATAGTAATATGCGCAATTATTCATAATCTATAGTGCATGGTCAAATGTAACAAATATTACAATGCCCATAGGGTAACATGAAATTGTAAAAATCACACAATTAAATATCACTGCATAATGTATCCTTGAATAGCACACAATAACATGTTTTTCAAAGTCACTGAACGATCAATGTCTATATCATTCGGTCTTGCCATGTAACTGTGTCTTCGGTGACTTCGGTGACTTCGGTGACTTCGGTCTTGTAATGCACTGATCCAGCTGCTGAGTTGAAGTAGAGCTTGAGGCATTCACGCTGTTTCTTGGCAGCAGTGCTATCTCTGTTTGGTCCTTTTGCTTGGTCGACATCATGCATATTGGCATGCTGCCTCCATGCTCCAGGGACCATATCGTGGTAGCCATCCTCGTAATCCAAAGCTGCATTCTGCAGGGTAGGATACCGCATGCGCATCAAGTTGTGAAGGCAGACACATGCCTCAACAATGAGCCTTGCTGTGTCAGGCTCCTGTTGCATGGTGCCTAGGAGAACCTGCCAACGTTGTGCCAGTATCCCGAATCCATTCTCCATTATCCTCCTCCCTCTGGATATCCTGTAGTTGCATATCCTATGCTCCTTTGTCAGGTTGCGTTGCGGGTAGGGCTTCATCAGATTGGTATGGAGCCCAAAGGCATCATCGGCAAGGATGAAGTACGGCATGTTTCTGTCATCATTCGGTAGGGGTGATGGTTGTGGAAAACCTATCGATCCGTCAGCTAGGCACTCCTTAAGCTCAGATTCATTAAAGATCATGGCATCTGTCATGTAGCCATCACCTCCAACGTCTATCCACAGAAAGTTATAGTCAGCATCTACCAGGCCCATCAAAACAATTAAAAAGAATCCTTGGTGGTTATGATATAGGCTTCCACTGTTGGCTGGCTTTCGTATGGCAACATGTTTGCCATCAAAGGCACCACATCCATGAGGGACATTCCATCGACGTTCGAACTGTTCAGCAACTGCAGCCCACTCTGCAGGAGTGGTTGGGAACTTGATCACTTCATTTTTGTACTCATCTACTATAGCCTGGCAGACTTCCTTCACTACGAGAGACAAGGTATTGGATGGGATTCTGAAGTCAAACTTCACACTGGCGTACGTGTCACCAGATGCCAGATGGCGCAGAGTGGCTGCAAGCTTCAGCCCTGGATCTATAGCCTTTCTGTAATTGGTATCCTGCTTGGTGATTCTTGGATTAAGTCTGGTGAGCAGCTCATCAAACATATCTGGTGGAATTCTGAGGAAATTGTGGAAAGATGCAGGATCTTCGTGCCTCAACTCAGGCATGAGGCGGTTGAAGTGCCCAAACTGAGAACTTCGGACATCACCTAGAAATGATCTAACCCAGCATCTTCTTTGCCTTGCCCTCCTTCTTCTTCGCCGTCTGATGATGTTTACAGCTGCAGCTTCATTGTATGCCTGCTGCTGCAGCTGCTGCTGCACAATAAGCAATTGTTGTAGTATTAGCAAGTTCTGGATATCTTCTGCCATGATGATGAACACGACATACACGCGATGAAGACGACAGACACACTGATGCATGAACTTTGAAACACCAGTTTTTATAGCAGGTCGCACATGAAAAGCATGGTCGCCATAGGAGCGTAGTACAACCTTGGTAACAACGCCATGGTCGTATTAAGAACTCCATAAACGCAGTGGGCACCCCATAAGAACGCCATAGGCGCACTGGGAGCCCCATGAGGACGTGGTGCAATCGCGCAACAGTGGTGAAATCATCGTAACATCGCCATGACAACGACATAAGGACTCCGAACGCGTGGTGGGGTCGTGGCAGACACGACAGGGTCGTGGTGAGGACGCCATGAAGTCGCCGTTGCAAATGTTACCATTTTCGCAGCGTCTTTGCCACGCATGTACTGCGCGTGTACTACGTTCATGGAGATGTTACGACGCTTGTCTCACGACCTTCGCGACCCCACCGCTTTCTCACCGCGTTCCAGGTCAGATCGCCGAACCTTGGCGCTTGTTTTGAACATGCTCAAAACAAACGCCGTGACTCGGCGATCATTGGCGACCATGGCGACCACACCACGATGTCTGGCGTTTCCACCACGCTTATACCACGCTTATGGCGACCTTGGCGCGCTCTGTGCCCATTTTCCGTCGCCGTAGCAGCGCAGTAAGGACGCCACCCCGGTCTGACGGGGGTATAATTTAGCGTAGTCAGAGCGCCATCTGTCGTGGAGTTTGCCATTATGTACGAGACGCGAGCGCCATCCGCCGTGTATATTAGCACAGAAAAGGGTATATTGTAGCGCCAAGCTACGGCTAAAGTGAAACCTGAAGTGAAATTTACCGTTTCAGTGATATTGAATAAACACGACTTGTATTTATTACCAAAGTCTTAATGTTTATCTACTTTATTTCGCCTATTATTAGTAATAATTTGAATCCGTTAGTAAATGACGTTAAAATCCTCTGCAACACAATCTGGTACAAACTCGGAAAAAATTACTCAGATATCTATGGATAGCCAGAGGCATCCCGAATTCCCCTATACTGCAGAATATGGTCAAATGAGATAATAGGCATTGTAAGGGGTTGTTTTGTAATCCGGCGTGCAACTAGATTACGTAATACTCTAAAATATGTATTATATATATAATATTCTAACGATCTATTGTAAAGCATGTCGACGCGTATCGATGAGGAATGTAAGAATCTTTCTATGGAATTCAGTTCACAATTTATAGTAATATAGCTGATAGGGTCTATGTCCCCCAGGGTACTGCCGGAACGTACCCTGGGTACGGTCCGGTATACCGGAACGTACCCTGGTACTAAATACTACTATCTAATATGCCGGACCGTACCTCGCCTACTCCACTACCGAGTCTAGGAGTCGCCTACGCCTACTCCCTAACCCTAACCATATCAGCTAGATAGTTACCAGGGTACGTTCCGGCAGTACCCTGGGGGACATAGACCCTATGAGCAGTAATATGTGCATAGAACACACTGCTTTATCATCTCATTTCAAACGTCGACGCGTGTTAATACAGTAGAACATTTCAGTTAATTACAAAAAGTTAATTATTTATTTAAATTACAAAGAAATATTAAATACGATCGAAATTCTCATTTGCTCTGTATAGATAACAACACAGGAATATATGCCATCACCACATATAACTTATTCGTCATAGAAATCAGACTCTAGCCTGCTAGATCTGTAGTGTTATATATTCAACACATTGGACAAGTGTTGCCGTTTGTGTCAGTATTTGTACTGAGAAGCCAACAAAGCAAACAAACGCCAAAGGATAACTCTCCAGTCACAATTAGTTACACATGCATGTTAGTGAATGAAGACCACAAGAAGCTGGCTTTGAGAACTGCGACAGTTTTACCTGTAGTTATATATGCAACACAACACTATATTGTATAAAATAACACAAAAACTGAAATAACTATAAGCTCAACTGTCTACTAGATGACTTTCCAAAACACGATATGCAATTTTGACCAAATTGCGTCACAACACGTACAGAATGTTTACTCTCATTAGCACATATATGCATGCATAAGGGCAAATATTAGAAATGAAAAGATTTGCAAATAAAGGCGCACAGCAAACCGCAAGACGTCAGTTGTCGCTAATATATGAGTGCTTCTCATAGTACTGTCGCGTTTTGGTTAACGTTCATGCTCATTGCATTGTATAAGAAATTATACCATGCTAGTTTAATATAGTATAGGAAGTCGCACGGTTGTAACTATAAAGTATAATCGTATTAGTATAACTTTACTTTTTCAGAAAGTATACTCTTTAAGAAATAACATAATCTCACACTGCTCAACTCTACTGCCTAACAGAATGAGACCGTGTGCAGAAATATGTTAAAAATCTAGATGAAATATAAAATCGTTTTCAACGTAATTACATCAAACTTTGTAACACACGTCAGTTGCCCACTTACATATAGCATTGAAAGTGTCGACCAAAAACACATGTATTTATACAACTACACCTATGTATAAACATAAAAATGTACATGCAACAAATCAAGAAGATTTGGTTATAATATTGAAACAGGCAACACACAAATTAAAAAATATCACACTTCTGTTATCAAGAAATGTACCAACAACTCCCATTCGACAGATTATTACGACAGGTTATCACGTCACTCTAGTAATGCATAATTAGTCAGTTCCACTACAAATTAACAATATAATCACCGTTTCTGACACTCACAGTCCGTATCCATATAGGTTTTAACAGATAATACATGCACCGAGTACCTTCATGTTCAATGAAAGTCAATTATAATATTCTAATCATATCACCTGAAAGGAGAGATATTTGCTTTACTATCCAGCAACTCCAATTCTAATATTTGTTAGCTTGTCACTACAACACCTACAAATAACGTCGAAATTTTGGGGACACAGAAATAGGTAACTGTTCTTACGTAGCATAAATCGTGTTTTAGTGTTGCAACGTTATTATGTTAAACATATATAAATCATACAAATATTTTACAGTTATGACTTTGCACTGCTGCAGCAACTAAAGTAAACTCACAAGATATAACTGTACAGCTTCAAAATTATTGAAACTCATTAACGTTATTAATTTCAGTGCAAAACTTACTGATTCTACTGCTAACACTACACATGGCAATAAATGAGAGCACGTTAGTTTTAAATCAATATAAACTAATGACAACAACACAATAATATGGTAAACGGCAGGCCATTTCTATAATGAATCTATTATACTCGTTTCAAAACAATTTTTCACTCACGTAATACTCATGGCATACCAAGTTCATATAAACCTCACAAGAAATTAATACATTTCATATGATTTCAAGACTGCAAGTACATCAATATATAAATTGCTTTTAACTAGTGTTTGAACATGTAAAACCCGTCAGTGAGTTTCAAGCGCTCTATATTAATAACTACACAATTCAGAGAGAAAATATAGTTTATTCTATTAATACATCTATTTAAAATGCCACCGGTTTCAGTTTTACTCAAGTTAATAAAATTTTCAATAACAAACTAGCAGTTAGAAATTCAACACATCAAACGCAACTTCTATGATCACTGCAAAGCAAACTGAAACTATTGGGGAGACTTCTTGCGACATTACATCAAACAAATTGCTACATCTACATACATAGCGAGTGACACAGCCATGTCAGTGTAGTCTGAACTTCCCTGAATATTGGTCATAAGTCTATCTACTTGATCCTTCAGTGTGACCATCAGCTACACATACATTATAGATAGCTGATCATGCTTGATCGTACTGGGCTAGTGATCCCTCCAATTTGTCTGCAATCTGAAATTCATTAACACCAAACTGTTACAATGTAAAAATTTAATACTATCACATGGATTTTCACGAGGACAATGGCAGTTGAACTGCAGTTGAATGGAAGTTGAATGGCAGTAAGTGGGGGAGTAGAACTATTTTTTTGAGTAATACAAAACATAAAAACGTCATCTACACAAACCTTTACATTCTGCTGCATCTACTGAAGTGTGGTAACCCATCCCAATATTAGATCTATCGTTCCGCCTGAATAGCTAGACAAAAGAGATAACCACCCCCAAAATACACACCCTAGTTCGTGGGTCAATTTACCCAGGTTCACACTTGAGAATCCGCCATCCCACTCCCTTTCGAGTCTAGACAGGTGTGGTTAACCATCTGAGCTTTCAAATCCACTCCCAACCAGGAAATACTATACCTTGCGATAGAACGCTATCTGGCCTCTGAGATAATTCTGCATGTACGTCTTGTAGTCGAGTATACGCTCACTGTGGAAGTGGGTGATCTCTGCAAGCAGAGCATAGGAGAGAACATCCCCACGTCTGGCAATAGCAGATGCATCGGCTTCATTCAGCTTCCCTTCGCCCTCCAGTTTCTGACAATCTTTCACTCGCTTCAATGCCCCCTGGAAACAAAAAAGTAGAAATATAAAACAAAAATTTGTATTTTAATCAGCAATTACTTGTATTATGCTATCCTGAACGTACGTGGGAGGGCTACTTGTGAAATGTTCAATCACAGTTTACTGATTTAGTGAGAAAAATAATAATATTACCATACCTTGTGAAGCTCAATGATTTCTGGAAAATTCGAGAGTATGCCTTTATATTCATGAATTTCTTCAATAAGTGGCTCCAGATCATATCGTGGCTAATAATGAAAAAAAACAAGTGTTTTGTAAAATCCAATTTAAATTATCATCAAAAAATGTCATGAATAAATATGGAATGTTACATACAATAGCATACATACATGATGCATTTGAAATGAGACACAAAGCAGTGCAGATATACATTCAATGTTAAAAATAAGTTACAAATAAACTTCAAATAAATTTTTTCAGTACTTTTTATAAACAAGAATGCCAAGATCAATAATGATGTATATTTCTTCTCTACAATATGAAAGTCTCAAGGTAAGTCACTTAAGCTAATAGTTATAACAAACATAACATCAGATATTAGCAAACACCAGCATTGGGGTGTAACGCTTCACCGATGTATCGGTGAATCACGATACAGATCCTGAGGATAAGATATTCGATAGGCAGCATCCAATACAAACAACATATCGTGATACAAACAATATTTTGCATGTTAAATAGTAAATAAGGCAAGCTAAACTCTTTAAAGTACATGTAATTCCATTTTAATAAATTTTTTTATGAACTCTCATGTAAATGTCCCCGGCTGTTATCGAAAATCTGGGTCAGCATATACGTGGTGCACTTGCATTTCAGCCAAAATTGTTAATGCAAAACAATCAAGAATGCTGATTTACTAGTGCACATTGTTACTGCGCCTGTAGCGTAGCATTGTGTATGGCAAGCTTACGAGTAGAGCTGTCAATATCAAGTCAGTCTAGAGTACACTCAGAATTTCTTTGTGTGCTTCAGCCATAAAAATATATAGTAACTAATGGTACACTGTATCCTTCTATGGCTTTGACATACTCATAATACGTTCAAGTTATGAAGGTATCAGAATACATATTATAACTTTAGAATAACAATGGCATTCGACAATGCTTGTGAACTTCAAAATACAATATTAGCCGCGTTCACACGAAATTTGGTATTTAGCGTTCACACGAGGCAAAATGCGCGGTCCAAGAAATACGGAATCTAAATAGATTCGGTATTTGTTGAAATACGCGGCATCCCGGATGACGAATTATTTGCCGTGCTTGAGAAATTCCGAATGTGTCCAAGCGAACAATCAAGCAAACAATGCAAAATAAACAATGCAATGCAGACCAACTGCCGATAAAATACGTAGACTGGTACGCGCTCGACAGTTCCAGTGTAACGCAAGTGGAACTGTCGAGCGCAGACCAGTCTACGTATTTTATCGGCAGTTGGTGTGCATTGCATTGTTTATTTCAAATTGTTCACTTGAGTGTTCACTTGGACGCATTGTTTTTTTTCAGTGTACTAAAGCAGCTCGCAGTTCGCAAATACGGCATTTCTAAAGCCGCGAATCAGCGTGTAAACGCTCGGTCGCAAATTTTTCTCAGATTCGGTATCTCGCAAATACCGTATTTCATAAATACGGAGTCTCGTATGAACGCAGCTAATAACCAATCATACATGGAATACACCAGAGTCAGAGGTGTTTATAACTAAAAGTAGCAAAAAGTAATGATTATACTAGCATTATTCAAAGCTAAATTCCTAGGATGGAATATATTTTATTTCATACATAGTATAAAAAATTTATCACAGCTTATAATTTATAATATCTGTTTCTGTCCACCTAACATGATGCATATTGTGACCTGCATATAAAAATACACATCGTACCATGACCTGCATGTCAAAATACGTATCGTACCATGACCTGCATGTCAAAATACGTATCGTGTCGTGACCCTAGTGTATCGTTGACCTCTACACGACGTATATTTGATGCACATATACCTGATCAGCAAAGTCTTGAGCTATTTCATTGTATGTCTTGCCAGTGTGGCGGATGGCCTCTGTAAGTCCTTGAGCCACTGTAAATATTGTATGTAAAAACCTGTTATCATAGAGCTGCAAAATATACCACACTAATTGGTGCTAATCATGTCATGTTCTTCAAAATAATGAGTGTCAATGACACTGTAGCTCACCACAAAAAAGGACACAAATGAGTGAGTAAGAAGAAGTCAGTTTTAATTGAGCAACAATCGACGTACATTATAGAAACGATTGCCATCTGTATATCGCAATAATAATTTATAAACCAAAATGAATCACAATTTGTGACCGTAGATGGCGCTATACCCGCTTTGTAGCGATGGCATTTGAAATAAATAGGTTATGCTGCGTTCCGATATGTTTTGTAAATCTTTACTCTAATATAGACGTTTTATCGGCAGGGTGGAAAGGAAATACCAATTTTGCATTAAAGATATTGTCAATGAAATCTTGTAAAATGAACCAGACGAGTGTGACACCACAGGCTGTTTGTGTCTATATAATATGCTATATAATTGCCAAACCCTAACTAATTTGCATAATTTTTTTTTAAATATCAAAACCCCTAGCCCTTATTCATTCACATACCAAAAATGAGCAAAATCCGTTGAACCTGAACTGACTAATGGCAATTCCATTTTTGTCAAAAAATTGCTGTGGCTCGAAAATACGTCGACTGGCGACAAAAAAAGACGTTTAATATGGGAGCATAGCAGTAACAACTATACCCAATTTCAAACATGTGGGCCCAACGGTTCCTGAGTTATCATTGACCGAAGCAAAATGTTGACGGACGGACGGACGGACAGACGGACGGACGACGACCTAGGGTCCCTGTATACAGAGAGTTGCGCCATGACGAGTCGGAAAAAATCGGTCACGTGATCGCTGGACGGCATGTCGTTTCCAAATTGATCCACACCGCTGCCGCTTAAGTACAGCGCTGTATGGATACGCTGTACAATGGTCCGTAGTAATTAATTAGACTAATCGTGCTTCAATAAACTCAAAATTTACAGAGATTATAGCTAAGACATGTTTCTATGTGTACCTGAATTTCTAGAACTGCAAAACACATGTTACAGCTGCGAGCGAGTGGAGAGTGGAACGCATTTATCTTGTGAATTACAGTTGTCATTATTCTTCCAAAATGACTAGCTGCTGTGTTTACACTAAGAAAGTGTACAATTAAGCTATCATATGGCGCAAACGATTTGAGTTACTTTTCTAGAAATCTAGATACATATAGACACATGTGTTATCTATGATCTCTGTGATTCTTGAGTTTATTGAAGCGCGAGTTGTTTAATTAATTAGCAAGTATCTACGCGTGGTATCGCACAGGTTAATATACGCACGGCTATGGGCGGTAAGAAAGTGTACAATTAAACTATCATATGGCGCGAACGATTTGAGTTACATTTCTAGAAATCTAGATACACATAGACACATGTCTTAGCTATAATCTCTGTAAATTTTGAGTTTATTGAAGCACGATTAGTCTAATTAATTACTACGGACCATTGTACAGCGTATCCATACAGCGCTGTACTTAAGCGGCAGCGGTGTGGATCCATTTGGAAACAACATGGAGTCAAATCCTGAGTTGGCGCAACTCTCTGTATATAGGGACCCTACGACGACCCATGGCAATAGCTCAGCTTGATGGTGTCAAGGTGAGCTAAATGAAAGTGTCAATGACACTGTAGCTCACCACAAAAAAAGACACAAATGAGTGAGTGAGAAGAAGTCAGTTTTAATTGAGCAACCATCGACGTACATTATAGAAACGATTGCCATCTGTATATCGCAATAATAATTTATAAACCAAAATGAATCACAATTTGTGACAGTAGATGGCGCTATGCCCGCTTTGTAGTGGTGGCGTTCGAAATAAATAGGTTATGCTGCGTTCCGACATGTTTTGTAAAACTTTACTCTAATATAGACGTTTTATCGGCAGGGTGGAGAGGAAATACCAATTTTGCATTAAAGATATTGTCAATGAAATCTTGTAAAACGAACCAGACGAGTGTCACACCACAGACTGTTTGTTATCAGCGTTATATGCTATATAATTGCCAAACCCTACCTAATTTGCATAATTTTTTTTTAAATATCAAAACCCCTAGCCCTTATTCATTCTCATACCAAAAATGAGCAAAATCCGTTGAACCTGAACTGACTATTGGGAATTCCCATTTTTGCCAAAAAATCGCCGTGGCTCGAAAGTACGCTGACTGGCGTGCTCCAAAATAGGACGTTTAATATGGGAGCATAGCAGTAACAACTACACCAAATTTCAAACATGTGGGTCAAACGGTTCCTGAGTTATCGTTGACCGAAGCCAAATGTTTGTGGACGGACGGACGGACGGACGGACGGACGACGGACGACGACCCATGGCAATAGCTCAGCTTGACGATGTCAAGGTGAGCTAAAAATCAATATTACCCGTAGGAAACCCGATCTCGCGCACTAAGCGGTGCTGTCACCTAGTATAAACAATTACTTGCCACCAATTGCCCGCATGATGAGTGACAACAGGTTTGGATGAGTAGACGAGGAGAGTTCTGACCAAATATGGTAAAGCTTTATAACAGTAAAAATACCAACAATGCGATAAAAACTTCCTGCGGGTAGGTGTCACTAGCATTTGTTAATAACAGAGCTTTGTGCCAAGGTTGCACTAATCTTGGATACATTATGCCTCAAGACATATAACATAATAATAACCTGAATAAATAATAGATGTTACTTACTCCTGATGATAATAATAGCATTCAATTTCTACAATGAGGACATGATGCTTTTCAATGAAACAACCCACAAACCTCCTGGTAGATTATAAACAATTCAATAATAGAGATATTAATAATAATTCCAAACTGCTTGAATTACCTACCAATTAGGACAGAGAAGACATTACAATCGACTTTACAGAAAAAAAACGAACTTACAAGGTCGGGTATCCAAGCTGAACGAGTTTCCAAGATCGATAAGGACGTCACCCATTTTCTGGTACTCTCGCTTATAAGCTGCAAAAATTATAAGATTATTACCACATACACTTCCTTGTAGGTTAGATTACGTCACCGTAAAATTAATAATAAAAAAAAAATAAATATTTCCACTTTTTCACAAAATATAACTTATAAGTAATTCTTTTCACTTTTTATGGTTAAATTACTGCATTATACTTCTTATTTTACTATATTGTTCGATGTGAACATACACTCGTGACGCATACATAGCCCATAGCAATTAATGTTAGGAACACTAATATCAAATAGTCCGGGTTTTTTGGATTTTTAACTAGCTGAGAAACAATTTTATCAGGTAAGAATTTGACGATACGTTTAGTCCCATTAGTTCTTACTTTTAATGTAAAAAAATGGCAACAAAAATTTTACAAATTTTACCATAGAAAATTCGTGACGTAATCACTTTAAGGAATAATGTTAATGATGAAGTAGAATCGACTGAAAATTGGTAACATGGTTAATGTAGTGCCCTAGCTAGCAAGTGCCTACGTGTCTGACTTGGAAGGACGTGTCTGTCATCGCCGAGTGGCACTTAATTAGATTCCCAATAAATATACCTTGAGAAATTGTCCCCCCCCCGGTTATATATTCCCCACCATTCATTAAAATACCCACAAGTGAGTGTACCACGAACACAGCCATATGCTAGAAGATGAACATCGCAGCACATACAACGTGCTTATACCCATGTCGAGTGTTAGTGAAGATCACGAGAAAAATAAATGCTGACGAATGTACCAGACCACAGGTGCCGAACCATGTTCACAACAGTTATCTAAATTTCACTTACGTCCTCGGTGCTTTTTGCAGCTTTCCAACATCGTCTGTATGCCATCTCGCACACTGTCATCCATATGCTTCACAAACTTGTTGAAGGAGTCGACCTTCTCCTCACTACAGAAATATCATCTATGTACTTTTGAAGCAGGGGGTATGTCAGAAACATCATAAACAAGCAGAACTATCATAAGTCTAAAACGTTGTAACTTTTGCACAGCAGTTCATTTCTAAAGTTATGACATCTTAGACGTGTGATGCTTTTATTGACAGTCCTCAGATGATCGCATGCAGGAATGGTTCAATCAAATATACTTTTAGACAATGATAATAAAGAATGCCAATAAATTAAATGCTTTAAATGATGACTGCAACACATTTATAAACTTACACATCTTTAACGGACAATGGGTTTTCTGGGGTGTTGATGATAAGGAAGAATGATCCAGCAACAAACTCGTCTTTCTCTGCTTTCCTCTTGCCTTGTTTCCACCTCTGAAGTGACACATTTAGATAATAATGACCTCACTAAGGAAACAAAACAAACAGAACTGTGCCCAAATAATGGAATAGATGACCTGTGATGAAATGATTATTAGTGAACGAATCCAAATAGTTGTAAACACTCATGGCCATCTAGTGCATCTAAAACTGGCACTCTATGCTCTATGTTAATGTGTATTTAAATATAGCTATGCAAGTTGATTGCAATTAAATTACTTGAATCACCTTATTCTTACTATGATTTAGGTGACAACAGCCTTCATGCAAATACGAATGCAAATTTTATATTACTTTCATGGCATTCACTGGCCTCGACTTTTGAACTGTGCCTCTTGTTAAAGTAGTTTATATTCTAGTAGACCTGCTCCTAGGTCTCCAAACTAGACCTAAGAACCTTTTTGTCTCGTTCTATCTCATTAATACGCACATGAACATAATAATGCACACATGCATACCTTTACCTCCCCCAACCTCTGTCTCACACTAACCTTCTCATCAGCACACGTGAGAAAATGATTCCACACCTCGGAGTTTGCGATGACTGGATGCCTGCAGATCCTGCTTACCCACAACTGCAGACCTGCCATCCTCTTCTCTATGAAGTCATCTTCATATCGTCCTATAACGTCACGTACGGATGTGTTGAGCTAACCCTGAGAACTCTAGGACAGTCTCCACTTAACGGATCAAATACATAAATAAGACACAATTTCGGTCATCCACTGTAAATTTCAACTCCACGTATTATTTTAAATAAACATGTATCATATTTCTCAATTTCTATATTTCTATTACTGTATACATTGCTGTATGGTGAAATACCTTGCTTTTACTTTAGTCCTACCTGCATATATACTATAGAGCATCCTAATAAACTTCTGAATAAAATCAATAAATACTTATAATATAAAGTTGAGACAAACGACCTTACCCAAATATGTACTACCTAGCACATTTGTTTCTAGAGATATTTGTTAACATAGAGCACAAACAAAAATTACAGCGCACAATGTTCTCATGAAAATATAACAAGTTAAATAAATAAATGAATGAATGGAAGTAAACATGGTTAAGAAGCCAAATGCAAGATAAAAGCATGTAAATGTAATGTATTATGTGATCAACAACTTGAGTTACCCTCCTTTTTCATTACTTACCACCTAGTTATGATACACCTACTATCAAATACACATTACCTGTTACTTGTTTATCGGGTAGTGGCGATACAGGTGTTACACAAAATTTATCCTCTAGACGACCATGCAGCCAGTCAAAATGCTTGTATCGTCTTGTGACCGGAACCATATTGAACTGTAAGACATAGAGCTATTTAATTGAAAAATAAGCGTGCCAAACTAATATAGCCTATCCCACCTCCCTAAACTTATTATGAACAGGGAGACCTGCCAAAATCATCATGAATGCTTACGACTATCAAAATTTTAAAATGATAGAATTTTTGCACAAGACTATATTCAAAAGTCATGACATTTAGACTCATAATCTCATAATTATGACTCCATTCATGACATTATGATATGCACCTGTAGTAGCTCATTTCCATCAATGTTAGGTGTACAGTGTTACACTATTTCTAACCATTTCCATGCCAAAACTACTGTAATTAAACACCAAATACAGTAAAATCATAACTGAAATGACTATTATTGATATGTAGAGTAGAATATACTGAATTTATGAACTTATAAACTCCACAAACAATGTTTTACAATTTACACATGAATACTCCACTCACAGAGGGCGTGACTTGGTAAGCTATGAAACTTTTCATGCCGCGAAACTTTGAATCCTTCTTTGGCGACGTGACACTGCAGGTGTAAGGATGTTCTTGCACTGCCCACACAGGTCCATCATCTGATTCCTATATCAGTCACACAAACCCAACACCTATTGAACTGACACGATGGCAAACAATTCATAGCAAGCACTCATGTTAGCAGGAGAATAACTGTGTATTGTGCTCTGCTGATGCACTATAATGATAGACTATCTGCAGATGTACACAGAGATGTCTACCCACACCTACAAAACCATCTGGAAATCTGGACAATGTTGAGCATGGGCTCATAGTCGCTCGACTATGGTGGCCCAAATAGCTAATAAATTCCTCACTCCCTCGCTGGGACAATGATTTCGCCTAGCTCTGGTTTTTCCCCTGTAGCCCAGGGTGTGAATGCTCAAGATGTGATAAGCGTCTGAACCACCCACCTGACAGCATATCACAAACTGTCAACCCTGACAAGAAAATACTCACCACAATCGCAATTCGGTCAGCATCCGACACAACTGTCTTTATCGTTCCTAGCAAATAAGCTTCGCCACCAGACTTTACAAATGTTGAAAATCTGTGACAAAAAATGAATTTCGATTATGAAAGAATTGACATCAACAAATCGGGAAATATGGCTAATTTTGCAAATACAACATAAATTAACAGATGCCAGCACATACATACATTATACACACATACAACATACAACATACATTAACATGCCCTGCTGGCATTCACATATATTCTTTTATTCTACAGTACATGTAAAATGCATAAACTTTTACATGGCAAGCTTGTACCAGCTAAAACACCAGTAGATTAGGTTCTAGTTGAAATAGTATGCAAAAATGATCATTGTACCTGTTGAAACTTTTCTTGACAGTGCCAAACTTTGCCTCCCCTGAATGCCCATGCTCGCGGTTGGCTGTGTGCAGACCAAAGTTTCCACCAGGTTGCTTGCTATCTTGTGACTATAAGAAAGGATAACGAAGATGAAATATAAGAAAACACAAGTTTTACTTTAACTATCAGTCCGCTTTTGCAAAGCTGAGTAGTATCTGGAAAGGAGTGTACAATTACTGTAGTTTGTTCATGTGCATGTGCAAATATAACCAAATAGAATTCAAACAGTGATGTAAACGTTTGATAAAAGTAACGCCCTCATCCATGTAATATCAAGCATTCCAATCCAAACATCTAATGAGCATATTGAGGGTGCGTGTATGGTCCATTTCCTTTAAAGCTAAACATGAATGGAAACATTGATTGGAAACGTAGATATATATATATATAATAGCCAACTGATATAACACATATACTGAATTTCATATATCAAATTATCCTATACATGTTGTTTCACTGTATAGGAAAATCTAATTGAACACATTCACTATGGAGATGTGAATTGCAATGCATGGTTAGCAATATTTATAAAAACTTGTAAAAATACTTACAGGGATACTACACCTTAAGGAATTATGTGTTTTAGGGTATATTATGATAGTACCAACTTACCAAGAGCTAATAAATACCTAGAGTGTACAGCGGAAAAATGGGAAAATAGTGCTGTTTTACAGCAATATTATTCTACTTTGTGTGCGGTTCTAGACTAACTTCATGGTATTGCGTTAAGCAGCATTCTTTGCTCTCTAAAATAAGACCAACCACTTGTCTCTACGATACTCCTAGGCCGAGATATTGGAGCGCAATCATGCCTCCCACAGGCCTGCAATTGAGGCAATTGAATAAAATTTTTATCAATTTTTAACTTTTTAACTTTTTTAAATTTTTGTTTCAGCCAGAACCACCTCCCAGACGTGCTGATTCTGAAAATATCTTTATTTTTCCTCTAGGCTGCGGAGTTCTCTAGTTATGCGAGTACGGACTAATTCGGCTGAACAACTTTATATATATAGATTTTCCTCTAGGCTGCGGAGTTCTCTAGTTATGCGAGTACGGACTATAATTCGGCTGAACAACTTTATATATACTAGCAGAAAGTATACCCGTAGAACCAGCATATGTTGTCTTTATTTTTAAAATAAAAACTCCATGTAAGTGACACAGATAAAGTTAAATATTTCATGTAACTGAAAAGAAAACCACTGCACTGGGTACAACAGAACACTGGAACAGCTACTGGCCACTGACTACTGACTACTGTGTCAGTACGGTGTACGTCAAAGCAGAGTGAGCAGGGGTTGGAATCTGCCAGTAGGGGCGGGGGGCGATCTGAGGACGTAAGCCACATCTATTGAGGAATAGGCATTTTTTTTGAGCCAGAACCATCTCCCCAGCCGTGGTGCAATTCTTGAATATGCTCATACGGCTTATTGGTTGGCCACAGTGTGACAAAAATCAAGAATTTACATGATCTTACATATTTATATTGCCCGCATATAATCGACCAATGGGAAGCGAGGAATGATATGCCCGCAATATAATCGAATATATGCCCGCATATTAATCGAATTATATGCCCGCATTATAATCGAATATATGCCCGCATATATTCGGCAGCCAATCAAATCAAAGAAATTCAGTCCACATAAATAACTTCCGTCCCCGTTTTGACCACTTCCGTCCCAAAAATCAAAGGAATTATGTCCAGACATAAATAACTTCCGTCCCCGTTTTGACCGTCTAGACGCATTTGTCTGGTTCGCTTGATACACATGTGAATGGCAATTGTATGCAAGGCAGCTAGCGCTTGCAAATTATGCTATGCGCCTGCGCCCGTCTGAGAATTTTCACGCACGCTAGACTGCGTCGCGGCCGAACTGTCGTCGCCAGAGCCGACTGCTTACGATGTCGATAGCGCAGCGTGAGCCGGAATACCAGTCCAATACATTATGCCAATTGAAAACTGGGCGACGGATTATGGTTGGCCACAGTGCACAAAAATCAAGAATACATGACTACATATTATATGCCCGCATATAATCTGTACCAATGCCGGCAAGCGAGGATATATGCCCGCATATAATCGAATATATGCCCGCCATATAATCGCGCAGCAATCAATCAAAGGAATTATAGTCCACCAATAAATAAACTTACCGTTTCCCGTTTTGACACTTTCCGTCCCAAAAATCAAAGGAATTATGTCCACCATAAATAACTTCCGTCCCCTGTTTTTGACCGTCTAGACGCATTGTCTGGTTTCGCTGCATACAATTGTAATGGCATGTTATGCTAGCGCTTGCAAATTATGCTATGGCTGCTGCCGCCCTGAGTCTTTTCACGTCTGCATCGGCTAGACTGGTTCGCGTGCCGAACTGTCGTCGCAGAGCGCTCGTACATTGTGTAGCCAGAGCGTTGAGGACGGATACCAGATCCAATACATTATGCCAATTGTAATAACGGCGACGGAAGTGTAAAAACGGGCACGGAAGTTATTTTATGGTGGACATAAATTCCTTTGATTTTTGGGACGGAGAGTTGCGTCAAAACGCGGGACGGAAGTTATTTATGGTGCTGACATAATTCCTTTGATTTTGATTGGCTCCGATTATATTGCGGGACATATAATGCAAGCTAATTCGATTATACGCGGGCATTATATCTCGCTTCCCATTGGGTCGATTATATGCGGGCCATATAATATGTAGTCATTTATTTCTTGATTTTTTGTCCACCGCTGGCCAACCATAGACGGTGAAGTGTAAAACCGGGGACGGTAAAGTATTATGTGTGGACATAATCCTTTGATTTTTGAGGACGGAAGGTGCGTCAAACTCGGGGACGGAAGTTATTTATGGTGCGACATAATTTCCTTTGATGTGTTGCTCCGATTATATGCGGCGCATATTTGCAGCTATTCGCATTAATATGCGGGCCAAATATTCCTCGCTTCCCAATTGGTACGATTATTATGCGGGCATATAATATGTAGTCATGTATTCTTGATTTTTGTCCACCGTGGCCAACCATAGACGGAAGTGTAAAACGGGGACGGAAGTTATTTATGGTGGACATAATTCCTTTTTGATTTTTCGGGACGGAAAGTGCGTGCTCAAAACGGGACACGAAGTTATTTATGTGGGACATATTCCTTTTGATTGATTTGGCCTCCGATTATATGCGGGCATATAATGCCAAGCTATATCGATTATATGCGCCGGCATATATTCCTCGCTTCCCATTGGTCGATTATATGGCGGGCATATAATAGTAGTCATGTATTCTTGATTTTTGTCCACTGCTGGGCCAACCATATTACAGGCGGCATCAAGGAGGAGCGCAGATGCTACATTCCCACGTATAGTTGATGTGTCGATTGCCGCTGTACGCACTGCCATCTTATTGGAACGAATAGCATTTTTCGAATTTTTGACTTAATACTTTAATTACTTAAAACATTTAAAAAAAAATATTTCAGCCAGAAACCATCTCCCAGACGTGGTGCATTTCTGAATATATCTTCAGTTTTGCCGCATTGGAGTGACAAATCAGGATGCGAAAAAGGGCGAACACAAACAAAACCACACACACACACAACAACACACAAGCATTAGCCAAATGTATAGTATTAGAATAGATATACCTACTACAATTTTCTATAAGTCATGCATTCACATTTGTCATAAAACAACGCGTGGAGTTTCGAAATTCTTCATTTGTGGCTGCTGACATCGACACCCCGCGAGGCTACACCATGACAGAGTTGCGTTTTTTCGCTAGATTTATTTGCACCGTGTACTAGACGGAGAGCTATCGACAAAAGTGCCCAATTATATTCATACCTAACTGCATATTTAACCAAAACAATTGTTATATTTTAGCGACAAAATTCGTTTATGATTATAAACTGAAATGGCTAGAAATGTAGTTTATAAGATATCTGCCAATCCTTCTCTTCCTAAATAAATTAAATTACAGAAACACCCTCAGTTTGTAGCTTGCAGCCAAAAAGTTGGCGGATGAGCAAGTTCGAAAGCAGAGGGCTAGCTAGTGGCACCACTGCCGAGATGTAAGCAAACATTCACAGTACCTGGTTAATTTTTAAACAATTAAAAAAAAAATATTTTATAATTAATATTGCAAAAAATGGATATTTCTTTTTATGTAGCAGAATATTGAAGCCTATTTTAACTGAACAAAATATGCAAGGAACCTAGGTCATTGTATTGTCAAGTATCCTTTAATGACCCTTAGGGGATCTC